ATCTCTCAAACACAGAAAGTTGCATACATATTTTACAATATCAAAATAATACATAAAACAATACAGGAACCGTACGAGAATCATATTCCCGAATAGCCCCGATCTGAGCACACAACATATCCAAAAAGCGCTCAGATTGGTTTGGTAGAACAAAAGTTATTTTCAAGCTAAGTTTTGACCGACTGGCCACGAGGTGATAGCCCAAAACAGTTCCAGAGAATTGGACAAAAGGGCTGGTCGGCTTTCAGGGGTTCCTGTGTGAACATCAACAAACACTCACCCTGGCTGCTATGTAGCAAATGCTCCCCCTGTTCGGTAGATTATATCTCCCGAACGCCGTTCATCTAGGTGGTCACGAAGTGGGACGGGCAGCAGTACCATCTTTGCCTGGGTTCATGGAAACGTAATGCCGAAAACAGTCCCAGACGACCAAGTATTGCAGCCTGCATTCGGTAGACAAAATGGCCACCATTCACTGGACCACGTGCTTTTGGTTATACCAATGGTGGCCACCCAGGGAATGCGCTCAAGCGAAGATGTTAGTTTGTTAATTTGGGGAGGTCGGTGTTCACTGGGGCATACCAAGGGGCCACAAACAATTTTTTTCTTCTGTTTAGAAACACTGTCAGTCAGTCAGCCCTATGTGATGCCATAATGATGTATGAACTTACATTATTTGTCCTGGTTGCTACAGGGTACAATAGGCCTCGGAGGTTGGGATGACATGATAAGAAGCCTAGTCTAGTTCAGAACTAATTTTATTTTTACCAGTTTTCTAGAGAAACTGTTGCTATATTATCCATTAAAACATACCAATACTGTGATACACCCGAGCTTTCTAATAACCGGTCCTTTAACTGAGACATAGTGATAATGATTGAAACAATGATAGATACAATAAGGAAATTTTATATATAACATTTGTAATTTTGGTTAAAGTGCAGATCAGGCTCAGTTTTCTCTGTAGTGGGACAGTACACGTGGATGGCATGCTTTAGGTTAGAGTTGTAATGGGAAAAGCCAGTGTCAGAACATCTAGAACTCTAATCTGAACCAGAATCATGGACTATATGTCAGGGTGTTATTAAATGAATGCGAAGGGGGCAAGGGAGGTCTTGTGCACAAAAAACCATGAGATCCGCCATGCCTACAGTTATAGGGTTAACAGAATGGCTTACTAATCTGTGTGTCTTAACTCTAGGCCTATAGGTTGCTTCCAGTATCAGGGATGTGGTCCCCTGCTGCTATGAGTAATATAGATGCAGTAAGTTCATAAAACCATGACCCAGAGCTATAAATGGATTATGAGTCAAAGACTACGTGTATTATGTAGAAGAAAATAGCCCTGGCAATATGTACACCATAGATAGGAATCAAACTTTCGAACTCCCGTCCATAAATGGGTGTGCTCAGACGATAAGGCGTCAGTGATGGAATGTTATGCACTTGTCTGAAGCTCTAAAATCTACATAAGATCCAAGAAAGCGTAGTGAACCTTGTTATGCCACTAGATGGCGACTGTAAATGAAAATTTAAGTTAACAAGGAAGGTGGCATTGCTTATCCTCGTTCATCACCGGGACACCAGATTACATTTGTTATGTTAAAAGGACACTGGGAACCACAACTCTTTGTGTAGATCATGGGGTCACTGTGTCCTCTGCACATAGTTGTTTAAAGTGACAGTGTTTTGGAAAATCCCATACAGTTTAAAGAGCATACTTTCACAATCATTTTGCAATTTGGTTTCAACTTACTACATTTGTGTCTGTGTATCTGTATGTGTGTCAGTGTTTGTATCTGTGTCTGTGTATCTGTATGTGTGTCAGTGTTTGTATCTGTGTCTGTGTATCTGTATGTGTGTCAGTGTTTGTATCTGTGTCTGTGTATTTGTATGTATGTCAGTGTTTGTATCTGTGTATCTGCACGTTTGTTAAATGTGTGTGTCTGTGTATCTGGATGTATGTCTGTGTGCATATATGTATCAGTGTGTGTGGCAGCCTATGTGTATACATCTCAGCATTAAAACGACAACACTACACACAAACACATCAATACATTCAAACAACAACACTACATACAAAAACACCCATACATTCAAAAGCAAACACTACACACAAGTGCACACTGCTTTCAAATGGCAATGGTACATGAAAACACAACTGCATTCAATTCCAACAGAACACACAAAAACACCCCTACAGTTACACACACATACTCAGAAAAACAACTTGCATTCAAACACATAGCACGGCTCAGTGCAAAATACAACCCTGCAAGGATGGGCAAATGGTAGATTCCCAGCTGCCAAAACATTATGGGATTTGTACAACGATGGGAATGTATATTTTATCCACCCATCTGTGGACTTGCTAAGGGGAGGGAGGAGTCCCAAAATACATTCTTGCATCAGGGCCCTCTCTATGTTAGTCCCACCACTGCTGAGGACATTTTCCTGAATTACTCTGTCAACATTTCAACACATTTTCTCTTGCTGCTAATCAGCTGAAGCAAGGAGTTGTGAAGCTGCGGCCCACAGACGTCTATCCACACATTCAGCCTATTCTGTAAAAAGATTTTCATTAGTTAAGCACTGGTTGGCTTCGGCACCTCTAAGAACTCATGTTTCTTTAAAGTCTGATTAGTCTGATAAATATGCAAATTCATTTGTTTTAATCTCTGTGAAGTTGTTGTTTGGGACCTGGAACACAAATCTATTTTGCATTAGAAAGCATTGAAATAAAGTGAAAACAATCAATCACTAGAATAACACTTAATTATCTATCACAGGGCAAAAAGAATCAAATGTTTTATCACTTTTTATCAACGGTGAAACATTAAAGGGATAATGCTGGAAGCGACCCCCATTTTACAGAGGATGTAGAAAATGCATTAAATACATTCTCAAATAAATAAATAAATACAATTAAAAAAAGACCTTTAACGAGAAAATAACACTTATTTGACAGAGACAATTCTTCATTCCCTCAGCTCAGTAAATGCTCTGGAGGTGGTTATTGGGATAAGGATCACGGCAGTGGTGGTAGGTACAAAACACACCAACGCTTGGTTTGGTAACAGGATTCATATTTAACTGCTTTTATAATCTTTTACCAGAGCCTCATTGTTTATAGTTTTTCTATACCTTTATTTGATGTGATAGCTATATTTTTCTAGATAGGTTCTAGTTCTTGTACAGGAAGGGGCAGTAGAACCTTGACGAGAGCCATGCTATTTATTTTAATTTAAGGTGAATGCGTAAATGTAAAAACAAAAAAAATTTAATAAATGAAACCTTAGAAATGCATTGTATAGGAGAGTGATATATAGCATTGGGATGGAGTATTGACAAATGTGTCGGTAGGACATGCTATAACTGTTGTTCCCTTGTTTCAACCCTCACCCTTTAAAACATATGGAAAACAAAGCCCCAGTAATTACTGGGTGCACCAGTTCTTCAGTGGGAACCCTGGCTAGGCTCTTGCAGGGAATAATTTTTAGTTTGGGAGTCCATCCTCCCACCTCTGGTAACAATTCAGCTTCAGTTAGTACTACTGGTGGCAATGCCAACCGAGCCCAAAAAAGTTTGAAGACTTGAAGTATAGGCCTGTACAGTGTGAGGAAGCGATGTTACAATAAAAGTATATGATTGTGACATTTTGTCTTTCTTATTCTCGAATTCACCCAATTTATTTATGTTTTTGTCATGAACCAACTAAAAAAAGCACATTTGGGTCATTTATGCCCATTCAGGGTAGTCATCACAGTAAGAAACACAAGTCATGTGATTACATTGCAGCAGGATGACTATGACAGTGACGATTCTCCTCGGTATGCCTTCCTGACTCCTGTCGGATAAGTAGAGCTGTGGATCCTTCTGGAAATGTTCACTAAGAAGATCAAACGTGACAGAATTCTTATCACCCCATTAAACCTATCAAGAAAACTCTGCAAGAATTGTGTTGTCAAGTTACAGGTTGTTATACTAGCGCTGATAATAAATGATTGGCAAAAATAACTGACCGACAAGCCCTTTGACATTCCAATGTCCGCTTGGTGAAGACAATTATTAATCTTTTATTGTATTTACACGTAGCAGCCCAACAATTATTTCTTAGCCCATCTTTGATGCTTTTATTCTTCCAGGAATACACTGAAAGTCACCAAACTAAGACTATTTCATTAGGCTTCGTGAGTGACTGTTACCTATGGTGTGTCTTCTCTATTCTGCCATAAATTGCTACTGGTTGGTTGGTAATCTAATCACAGTGGCCAGTCACTAGAGAATCTAATATTCTAATGAATTCTCCTGCCAGGCCTATATTTATAGAAATTATAGCAATTAAAATAACTAAAATTATTAGACTCGTGAATTGCAAACATTTCCCGTTCTTCCAAATTGATTTGGTTAAAATTTTCACAACTTTACCGTTATGAAGAATTGAATTTGAAAAAGTTTCAGTTTGATTAAAAAAAATTGATTTACATTTTCCGGGGATTAAGCCGGGTATGCCCTAAAATGAAGAGGAAAATGTGTCTATAGTGTCCCATTAACAACAACAAAAAAGACAACAAAACCTCTCAACTGTACATTAGTGATTGTTAACAGTGGCTACTAGACTTGTGCACCTGTAACATATTTAGATCCTTCTGCATTCATACGGCTTGGATTTTTTAAAGTTTTCAATTATGAAGAATTTCAATCAAATTTCCGATAGCAATTACCCTCAGGGTCCACTAGTTTAAATGCAGATGGGTTTATGTTGGCTCGCCATCACCAAATTACCAACCCAAACCTTTTATTCTTATATTGGTGATCTATGACCGTAACACATTTATCTGGAGTCAATTTGGCTGCAAGATTATGATGACTAAATATTGTCCCTGCAGATATTTGAAAGTAGCCATGGGTACAACAGTGCATAAAGCACTCACCAATTCTCTGAGCTGGTGGTAGAGCAGCCAAAATGTCTTAAGTCTTTGTTTTTTCCTTGTTATGTTTATGCAGGGGTGATACAGTAGAAATCACATCAAAGGTAGCACATTGAGTTACACAGAATAGTCAGAAACATTTTCACATGATACATTCTTTTCCCCATTTTTTCAGATAAAGAATTACATAAGAAACATGGTCATTAAATCAGTGAGTTCCTACCTATTCCCTAAGTCCTAAATAGCATAAAGCATGCTCCATGAGTACGACTGGTAGAATCGACAGATAAGTACACCTAACAAGTGGACAGAACTCAATTCTGAAACAGGTCAAAACAGATCTGTGAATGCTCCCTCACCACACTGTGGCTGGGGAGAAATGAGACACGTGGAAGAGCAGAGGGGAATGACACATGGAAGGCAGTGTTAATTTTTTAGTTTTAATCAAAGTGTTTTAACTAAAATGCCATTTAATTTTTAGTCATATTTTAGTCATCTGAATTGTTTTAGTTTTAGTCAACTAAATCTCTAGTAGATTTTAGTTGACACAACAAAAATCTAATTGGTTTAATTAAAGCCTCTATGTCTCTTTTGCCCCTTCTCCAGCCCCTTCTGTGTCTCTTTGTGTCCCCCCAGCTTCCCATGTGTCTCCATCAGCCCATTTGTCTCATTTCTTCTACTCCCTCCCCCATGTGTCTTACCCACCAGTGTTAATATTGGTGGCAAATTTCAATTTAGTTATAGTCATAGTCTTTTGACTAAAAAGCCATTTTAGTTTGTCGTGTTTTAGTCATCTGAATTGTTTTAGTTTTAGTCGACTAAATTTTAAAAATATTAGTCGACTAAAATTTGACTAAAATTGTTAGTCCACAAAACTAACACTGATATTGTGGCTGGAGGGGAGAATGAGACACTTGGAGGAGCTGTAGGAATGTGGCACATGGAAGAGCTGTTGAGAGAATGAGGAACATGGGGGGGATAATACACATGGGATTGATAAGACACGTCTAGGAGCTGGGGGATGGATGAGACACGACTAGGAGCTGGGGGATGGATGAGACACATTGAAGGGGCAGAGAGGGGTCAGATATATGGACTTGCTGAGGAAAATAAGACATATTGAAGAGCTGGGGGAAAGATTGAGACACAGAGGAACTGGGGGGATTGTGACACATGAAAAAGCTGGGGTGAATGAGACACATGGGGGATAAGACACATGAAGAAGAGGCACATGGAGAAGTTGGGTGAGAAGAATGGAGGGGTTGAGGGTGGGAATAAGACACATGGAGGAGATGGAGGGAGAATGAGACACATGGGGGAATAAGACACATGGAGGAGCTGGGTAAGGAGAATGAGATACATGAGGGATGAGACACATGCAGGGACAGGGGTGGAATAAGACACGTGGGGAGAAATGAGACACATGGGGGGGCCCAGGACAATTTTCACACCAGGACCTGGTGGATTCTAGTTATGCCTCTGTGTTAGTGATTGTGTTATATCTGACACAAACAGGATTAAATAACTTTAGAAATAAATGAGAAGACTTTACTTTGTAATATTTGGCATAGACTGACATTTGACGGGATAAGTTAACTTAGCAATTGTAGAATACACAAGGATTATAACTCCAATTATTCTCAGGAAAACAGAATACAGAACTATATATACACAATATTTATACAGGAATCCTCGTTAAAGCACTTTATAACAGCTCGTCTTCTTGCTGCAGAGATTAGGCAAGCGCACTGCTTAAAAGATTAGAGGTTTAGCACAAGAACCAGCAAGAGGTATACGTGGTTACGTGGGAGCAGAACATCATAACTTGGGAAATTCAGAGTGGAAACTGGAAGGTAAATGGTGTCCGGTTTGAAAGAGTAACAGTTCAGTAGTTAGAGGGAGGACTGTTACTCTTTATGAGCCCCCCCCTGTGACAGGCTTAACACAGAGGGCACAATCACAACGTTAGCGATCTCTGTTGTGCCATCACTGCTTACTAAGTGTAGAGTTTCCTCTGGTAAATGTATAGTGAACTAACGTAAAATGTATATATTTGCTGGTATGTTGTAAGCACGGATTGCATTAGGACATTAAACGTCCAATTCTTGGAGTCAATGCTTGTATATGAGAAGCATTTTATTGGCGTATTTATTCCACAATGCTTCTCTGTGAATATTACGATCTGTAATCTTTCTGAGTAATTCTGAGTTTCCCATTTAAAGCATTTTTCTGAAATCCAAAAGTCCCCACTGACACACTAGACAAGGCATAGGCAACCTTTGGCACTCCAGATGTTTTGGGCTACACCTCCCATGATGCTTTGCCAGCATTATGGGCGTAAGAGCATTATGGGAGAAGTAGTCCACAATGTCTGGAGTGCCGAAGGTTGCCTATCCCTGCATGGGTAAAACATAATATGTGTTTATCTCCTATTATGGTGTCCATTTAAGGTAATCACGTTGGGTAAAGTGGCACTTTATTTATCAAATTGGGCATCTGTATTGTGTTGCCCCCCCAAGGTGAAAAGTGTACAGCCTTACTCTGACTGTCACATTCTCTTAAAATGCTTGACCTCACCCTGTTTCATTCCTTTTAAAAAAGTCC